TACACGACGAGGAATCCTCTCTCCTCCGTGGCATCTTCGAAACGGCCGCGTCCTCTTTCAACCGGATCGTTCGGCACCGGCCATCTCCGTCGCTCTACCCGCTCGTTTGTTCTGTTCCGCGTTCTAAGCGAGCGCTTGCGCGTGGAAACGGCGCGAGGCGTCGGCGTCGTGCCGGGGGCGTCGCACCAACGTCGTCGGCCAACCGACCGACCGACCGTCTCAACCGAGCGTTCTCCTCTCGCTAGGCCAGTATCAAGCCGGGAGCCGTCGAGAGGGTTGATCCACCTCCGCAATCGGCGCTCACGCTACGCTCTTACCACGTACGTATCTGACCAGACGCAACGGACGCATCAGCCACGCTCGACCAACGCCGAAGTCGAAGCTAGTACTCTGGTGCGCGGGTGTACCGTGGTAGCTGCTGCTCTCGTTCAGGTGCAGTGTGTGGCTGCCAACAGAACTCACGGGTTGGATGAGAAAAATGGGGCGTACGCCGAGCCACGAGAGCCGGATCGATCGCGAAATAAACGTACGCTGGATGGACGACGACGTGGAGTAACCTCTCTCGAGAGTGGAAACCGAACGGAACGTAGAGGCTACACGCAGCAGGCTACGTACACAACGGTGCTGGTGTCAGTTATCCACGGAAACACTCGCGCCATAGTGCCGTGGGACCGTGGCGGTGAGTTATTTTTCCGTGTCGCGTATTTCTACGCGGCGGACAGGAAACGCACAGGGACAGAGGGTCGCGAGGCTGCGTGACAGTGCAAACGAAAGCGGAGGTTCTGCGCGTAAGGGGAGCGTGTGCTGCGTTTTCGTAGGGTAGTGGTAGGTATACCTCGTTGCGTAGGGTGCGTGGTGAAAGTGGTCGTGCTAACGTGTATCAGGAGGTCGAGGTCGTGCCACGTATCGAAGAATATATCCGGAGTGTCGACGATTCGGGGTCGAACGATTCCCTTTCGACGGTGCGAATTCTCGTGACCCTGAGGAAATCGAGCTACGTCGTAATTGGCGTATCTCTCTCTCGCACGCTCGCTCGCTCGTGATCACCATAGAAGGAGGAGGGTGGCCGTACGGGGAGGAAGAAAGAAAGAGGTGACACCAGGAATCGACCAAGTGGAGGTTGAGGGGTACTCGAAGAGACGACGTCGAGAGGACAGACGGAGAAAGTGTGTCACCGACGTGGTACGAGGCGCCTCGAGGTGCCTTAGGTTAGGTCGCTGCTGAAGTCCCTTGATGCGAGGCGACGATAGAATAACAAACCCTCGAGCCAACGTCGCGTTAATTATCCTGCAATTGGAATACTTTCCGCGGGGTGAAGTGACACTCGACGAAAGCGCGGGGGAGGAATCATCGACGCGATGACGGAAATGATCGAAACGTCTTATCGAAGCCCGATAACTTTCACGCAGACGTCGAATTAGGGTTTAACAACCGCTTAGCCTTGACATCGAGCCTCGAAAATCGAAAGGAAACGAATAATCCTGCATTTTGCTAATAACCTCGAGAATTTTCTATAATCGCGAATATGATCCCGACGAGAAAATACCGAGCGTACGTCGATTCGGCAGATGAAAATCACGCTAACGAGGTTTCATCGGTTTGATTACCGGAAAGTGAATTCGTTAAGCGCGATCTAGTGTCGATTTGCGCACACGTACGAGTGGCCGGAAAAGATTCATCAGGATCAAATTGTGCGTAACGTGATTGTGAAGTGATACTCTGATAAAGCATTCGGTTGATTACACCGGATCCAAGTGTAATTCGAACGTGTGTACCCGCGTTAAGGGAATCCCGGGTGGTGAGGTGGTAAGGTGTTGCAAGGGTGTTCCGTGTCATCGACAATCCTCGAATCGTTTCGTTTCGTCCCTCGATCGACGCGAGACAAAATATCGGTAACGAAGACGTGTTCGCTGTTTGCTCGAAATTCCGCTTAAATTAGACTCCCGCTTGGACCGATTTCTACCTCGAGTCCAGAGTTTTCCTTCGATCGGACAATTTTCTTTCTCGCCAATCTTTATCCGGCATGGACTCTCGTCGATAATCGCTCGTGATCCGTGTGATCGCCACGAGGCGGACTCGGCGGGCGCTGAAACGTAACCCCAAGGCAAGGGTGCGAAGCGTACGAGCGTCCAGGAAAAAGACTGGCCTGCGATTCCGCACGGACGTGTGCACAGTCACTCTCTCTTTCCATATCCGCCACCCACGCACGCAGCCGAGACGGTCCGCGCGTGCGTGCTCACGTGCGATTGCAGCCGGTACAACGTGGCTAGCGAACGAGTACACAACCGTACTAGCACAGTACCGAGCCACACTGATCGAACGCCACGCTACCGATCCGACAATCCGGAAATTTCGCCATCCTCGCGCGATCGGATGACGATTCGCAGCTTTTGATCCCAAATTAGAGACGCTGATCCGCGTACGGTGTGATGTGACGAAGAAAAGGAGGACCGATCGAGACACCGTTCGTGCCAAGTGCACTGCTCTCACGAGTAGAGGCGAAACATCCGTGTTCTTGAACAATCTGATGAACAGCATCTAGCAGTGATCCCCAGCTACCACGCCAACCATGCATTCCTCGCTCGTGACCAGCAACGTAGGCGCGCTGCTGCCGTTCCTGGTGGTATCGCTGAGCCAGCTGGCCCTGTCGTTCGTGCTGGAGGGCTCGGCGACCAGTTACGCTCAGTTCAGGAAATGGAACGCGGGTCAGAACGGCACGCTGGAGTTCGAGTTCAAGACCGAGCAAGGCAACGGTCTGCTGCTGTACACAGACGACGGTGGTACCTACGACTTCTTCGAGGTGAAGCTCGTCGAGAGCGCGCTCAGATTGAGATACAACCTCGGCGGTGGTGCGCAGATCGTCACCGTCGGCCACGACCTGGGAGATGGCCACTGGCACAAAGTGCAGATCACCAGGTGTAACGAGAACACCACGTTGACAGTGGACGGGGTGAGCGCGGTCTCGACGTCGCGTGGCAAGGAGTTCGAGTTTGGCAAGCTGGCAGGGAATTCCGACGTGTACGTAGGCGGTATGCCCAGCTGGTACAACAGCAAGCTCACGTTGCTCGCGCTACCGAGCGTGATCTTCGAGCCGAGGTTCAACGGATTCATCAGGAACCTGGTGTACGCCGATGGCGAGAACACGATGCCCAGGAGGCAGGAAATGAAGAGTCGGGATGCTAAGGTAAACGAATTTTCTCTAGGAAGCTCGGCTAATAACGAACCGCGCGATTGTTCGCGGCGAATAGGGTGCAAAGGGTGTATTTACTCGTGCGTAGGATGCGCGAGAGGCTCGACAGAGGATGAACGCGCTCGAAATAGCACCAGGCGTAAATTTCGCATCGGGGAGGGTGAACGTTGCACCTCGCGATATCGAACGTTCGACTGCGTATTAATATTTCTTGCGTAACTGACTGACGCGGTGTCACGTCGTGAGCGTTGGGTAAATTCTGTCAATTCGTCCGTTTCAAGTGCACAGGATCGCTATAGCGACTCGGGGTATAGGATTTTAACGATCAATGGTCGAGCAAGGTTTCCAACTTTGTCGTGCCTTATCTGAAGGGTAATATCTAGTTCGATGAATTTTTTAACACCAGGAAGCAGTCGGCACTTTCGACTTTCATCGCGAGTCTCGTATCGAGATCAACGCGACGTTAGAACCCGCGGTAATGGGAGTGGAAAATTGTGATTCGCGCGTTGTTGTCTTGGGGATGACTCGACAGACCCATCCCTCGAACAATACGTCGAAAATGGTAGAGAACGAGCGATCGATAGGAAGAGAGGATAAAATGGTGCAGTGACTCCCCTAATGGCCAGTTTATTTTTGGCAGCCTCTAAGTATTTGTGCTATCGGGCAGGGAAAAGTTTTCGTTTCCAGGTCTTCGATCCGTGGCGTGTCAAAAAATGTCTCGGGGGTGGATTATCGTGACTCGAGCTGAAGCAGAATAGCCCCTGACAGAGGTTCTCATCGTGTTCTTACATCTAAGAGACTTAAAACTCGAATTTATTACATATTGTAACAAAATCCATACCCTTTTGACACATTCTAGACAACGTATGCCTAAAAATCCGAAAAAATTTGATGTTTTGATGAGTGCACAATCCCTACTATGCTGTCAAAGTCTAGATTCTCTCGAAAAGAAAATGAAATTTACGTTACGTCTTCCATTTTTATTTTTACGGCATCCCAACCACGTAACGTCGAAGAACAGCACGTAATTTCATCAACGTAAGAACCTCCGTGCAAAGGAACGATTTAGCTCATAGCTCGCCGCATACCGTCACGAATAAAATCACAACTAACGTCTGGTTGCTGTACAACGTACGGTGGCACTAAATATTAAATCCATGGCTGGTGCGTACCCGAGAGAAAAATTTCATAACTCGAATCAGCACGATATCCACAGCGTGCCTAAGAATTCCTTACGTCCACGTTAATCTGGGCCAGCCATCGCGCAGACGTATTGTTACGCACGCTGCTGACACCGTTTTGGTGCTTCATAACGCGAGACTCGTCTCGGAGAAAGAGGGGTGGGAAAGAATTGAGTGTCTGTGTGTGAGAGAGAGAGGGGAAATGTAGACGGGAAAAAAGGAAATGGGTTTTTGTTCTTTGCAACTACAACTGGAAATTCCCTTGCGCTCCTCTTTGCTCTCGGAGCGGACTCTTGTTTAACAATAGGGGGCACGGTTCTAGGAACGTTGTTAGCCTGGTCGTTACATTAATCAAAAAGGCCAGACTTGTTTTTCCTGTTACTCTTTCGGACGCAACCGGCTGCGTAAATCAACGATAAACTCGGAAAGTAATTTAACGTTTAACTGGATTTCGCGAGCGCACCTGTCCGAACCGCACGTGCTGCAACTACTTAGACATGGGCGCGAGAGGGCGCGTATATTTCAAAGGATTTATTCGGATTTTAAATCGTTCGGTATTTAAACGCTGGCGTTTACACGCGCGGTACACCAACTGCTCCAAGTTTCCACGAGGTAATTGTTCTCTGTTCGAAAATTGGATAACAATTAAAGCCAAGCCGCGCTCGCGTTCAATTTTTCGCGTTACGGTTAACCGTGCGACGATTCGCCGGCATTTCCGCTTTCGCGTTCTTCTGTTTCCCGATTCTGAATTTATTAAACGTTTCACTTTGGAAATTAGTTCGTTACAGGCCGATTGTATTATTAGTTATTCGGAATTTATTTAAACAAAGACACGCTATTTCCTCGTGCCCTAGGTATTGAAATATTTTGGCAGCGAAAAGCATCTCGAATTTACATTAGCATCTTCGAAACAATCTTTCATCCCCATATTTATGGACAAAAATAGTTGCGTCTAACCAACGCAACGATCACGCATTCCCAGTGCCCCCATAATCGCAACAATGGGGTACCAAGATTTACTAAAGACGGATTCATCTCCTGGCTTTACAAAAGACTGTACACTAAATTGAAAAATTGGAAAGCTCTGTTTTACGATCGAATATGTGAACAATTTTGCAATATTAAACATATCAAGTTTCCTATTGTAGTTACTATAATATTCCATCATTTCTCGGTTACGTCGTGTGGGAATTTTTCATTAAGATTGTGTGTCATCATTGCTTTAGTCGGTCCAGGCTTTTGTGGTTCCTACCGATGGTGTTCCTATGGTGCTGGCCTGTTGGCATCCCCTAGGATAGGATGACAGGAAAAAGAAGGGATGCGTTTCGTCCAGGGCCTGCTAGTGAACTCATCGGTAAGGCTACCTAGCAGACCCTGCCTTAGGGATACTATTGGAAGGAACTTCTATTTAAGGGAGGTTGAGGACTCACCGAGGATTTGCGAGAAAGTCCTCGAACCTCCTTCAAGCAGGAATCCATTTTAACGCTTAATTCTAAACCCGATGTACCAAAAATATCCTACACTATCGTATTTGTATTTTCGCCTTTGACACCCAGATCTACAGCCATTATAAAGAAAGTCTTCGATCGCAGTTTACCCCGTACACCCCGTTCTCTAATTCACACCCCCGCGGTATCTTCTACAGCCTGCTACGCGAGGGTGCCGGGTAACGAACTCTGAAAAAGGCGTTTCGCGAAAGGAAATCGGACATTGTTCCTGCCAGCGCCGGTTCATATTTCTCTGCGTGGCGGGATGCCAAGAATGCATCCGCGCTTGTTCGTTATTACGCTGAACCGAGCGAATTTTAAGGACGCTGCTCGTTTGCCAGCGGCCAGGCATAACGGACGTATCTGCGAACGATTAGATAAGGAGACAAATCGAGAATATCCGTCAGGGGTGGGCGGGTGGTTGCTTGGTCAACGTAACTCGCACGCCATAGTATAATTCGGCCGACGTTATCGTCCTTCCTAGATCAGAACGTGCTCTATGCAACAAACGTTGCCTACAATGCACTTGGACGACTTGGATTTATCGACGTGCCAGAAATTGTATTTCCCTCGGTTTCGTCCTTTGGATACCTGCGCCGGGACCACCCCGGGACCACCCCGGGAACGTTCGAGATTACATTCATCCTTCGTGCTTCATTCGTACACGGACCAACAGCTGCCACGAATTCGCTAATAAAATAGCGACTACGGGGCTAAATTGATATCGCTGAGACGGCGAATGTCATCCACGCGGGCAAGTTATCGTATGAAATTTCGGCCGCGGACAGGGGGTCGTAGATCAACCTCGCGAACGCGAGACATAAGCGCGTGGGGGGTCCTCGCCCCACGGTCGTTTCGAAGTCGTGCTGATCGCAGGTATTCTCTATGCCGGCGTAGCTGGAAAGGACGAAAGGAAAAGGAAGGGATGCGTTTCGTCCAGGGCCTGCTATCGGTAAGGCTACCCTAGCAGGCCCTGCCTTAGACACTGGGGTACTATTGAAAGTTCGGGAAGTTATATATATGTAGGATCGGATTGGCTGGACTGGCCAAAATAGCGTTATTTTACTTCTTGATAGAATAAAGGACGCTTATACGTAGATTGACGGCTATGAAACAAGAGGGATTCGCTATGGGCATGTTCGACTTTGACTTCTTACTCACATACTGACACTAGCTTAACCGTTTGAGTGCCACGGGTCATTATTGTTTCCCAATCGACATTTGCCAAGCGGCGCGATAGCGCTTGTCATATTCCGTGTCCAAAAATGCCGAGCGGCGCGATAGCGCTTCTCATATTCCGCGTTCCGAGCGCGCTGATTGTCAGCTTCGCAGCTCAGAGCGCTGGAATTTTTGGACACAAAATAGAAGAAGCGCGATCGCGCCGCTCGGCACTCAAACGGTTAAGAACTCTTAAAAATTGTTAAAAGACTGGAGACTATAAACTGGCCCTGCCCGCGCTTGCACCCTTATTTAAAGCATTCATTCTGTCCTTTTCCATATCCAGGCTTTCCTTTCCAATCATGTCCCTTTCCCATGCAACCTCGGTGGGTCAGGTACTTCAAGCACTCTGTATGCATCCCCAAATTTTCACTCGACTTTACCATAAACGTTCCTTGCAGTCAGTCCTCTTGAACACGGTCACTTTTATTCTGAGCCCAAACACAATTGACATTCTTTCAGGGCCGTACTTATTCCAATCCCACATATATAGGAACTGCGAGAAAGTCCTCGAAGACGGAATCCATCTAGTGACGAGGGTGAGAATAGTGGTCACTACAAGCGATTTAACACGAGAACTGTACCGGTTGTGGGTAGTAAATGACGTTTAAGAGTATCGAGAAGTCCATCGACCGGGTCGCTTCGTAAATGACGAAATGCAGACTCTCTTCCTTCTCGTTTCGTCACGTCTAGCACCTTCACCACATCGAGGATACCTGCGACCAGCCAACGTCACAACAATGGCGGAGAACCCTCTACAACTTCATTTTCCATCTCCATCTTGACCACTACAATAGGGACACCTCGAATAAAGTGCTTATTAAAGAACGATTAGCCCTCGAGCACTGTCTACCATCAGCGAGAGCGACAAGGCGTCAAAACCGGATTAACCAGCACGCGTACGCTGTTGAAATCGAACATTCGCCGGATTCCGATAGTTTGGAAGTTGTACGAGAGCAAACGTTCACGGTTGATTTCCAAGCGTTAATATTATTGCTTGGCAGAGAAGAGAGACGAACGCGAACCGATTATCGTGTTCCGCCTGTGCCGGATGCCGAAGCGTGATTTCGCGGCTAGGTTAAATACTTGCCGCGGAAAGCGCAATTAC